CTTTCGTACTTACACTTGATCCCCAAGAAAATGGAAGTTGCTAATGAGCCCATGAAGAAAATACACGAAATCAGCATCACAAGACACCAGGTTCCTAAACATGTAACAGAGAAAGTTAAAATGAGTTAAAGAAAGTAGATGGGAGGAAAGAATCAAGTTTAGATGAGAGTGACTGAAAAAAGGAACATAACATTAAATACTTCTAATTGGAGAATTGTTGAGTCCTGGAATTTGTAACTGGGATTAAGAGAAAAAGAGAGCCTTACTCAAGCTCCTTAAAATACAAAGTGCATCTCGGAATACATTTAATTTGGAAAAGTGTTAAACTGAAGATTTAATAATAAATTTCTTTCATCTTTATGTATGACACCATGTGCTTACTAACTAGTTACATATATTCTTTTCCAACAATCTTTTTCAGATTATCACAAACTTTGGTTTTTGAGAGTAAGAAAGGTACCTTACATCGCCCCATCTCTTTTTAGCGTCACTTGAACATGATTTTCTCAAAGATATTTCTTTTAGTATCTTATAATATCAAACACTTTTGGTTTAAGAACATTATTTTTTCCAGCTAATTTTGTAACTATTCAGAAAAGAATTAAGAATGATTAGTTTTATTGTTAACACTACCTATAGCTTTTGAGTTGATTCCGACTCATAGTGACACTATAGAAGAGAGTAGAATTGCTTCATAGGGTTTCCAAGGCTGCAAATATTTATGGAAGCAGACTGCTACATCTTTCTTTTCAGCGGCTGGGTCTAGATGACTAGCCTTTTGGTTGGTAGTAGAGTGCTAAACTGCTAAACCACCAGAGCTCCATTCTTAACACTAATCAGAGAAAAATAGTTAAAAGTTTTCTTTGTATATTGTAGTAGGCTAAATAATGGTCCAAACCCACCAGCCGCTCCTTGAAAGGAAGATTGGGCAATCTACTTCCATAGTGATGTTGTTGTTGTTATGTGCCGTCGAGTCGGCCCCGACTCATAGCGACCCCTCCTTGGGTTTCTGAGGCAGTATCTCTATGGAAGTAGGATTGCCCAACCTGCCTTCCGAGGAGTGGCTGGTGGGTTTGAACCACCAGCCTTCTAATTAGCAGTCAGGTGCTTTAGCCATTATGCTACCAGAGCTCCATAGTGATACCACCTCAGAAACCCAAGGAGGGGTCTCTGTGACTCAGATCCGACTTGACAGCAGTGATTTTTTTTTTTTTTTAAAGATGTAGCAGATATTGAAGGCATCAGCACTGGATTAAAGTTAAAATAAACCAGCAGAAGCACAAATAGTACACTTGTTTTGGGCATAGGACATGTCCTAATACTCAAAAACTGTAAATGTTAAGTTATGTGGCAAAAGGGATTATTTTTTTGCATATGTAATTAAATTAAAGATTGTAGGATGAGGAAATTAAAGTGGATTACTTGGATTTTTATAAGAGAGAGACAAGAGATCAGAGAGATGGAGGTAATCGGAGGACAGAAGCAGATAGAGATTTGAAGATTCTGTGTCATCACTGCTGGCTTTGAAGGTGAAGGAAGAGCACATGAGCCAAGAAAATCAAGAAATGCAGCTCTAGCAGCTAGAGACGACAAGGAAACGGATTCTCCCCCCAGCCTCCCAAGGGAGCGTAGTCTTAGTGACACTTTGGTTTCAGTCCATGAAAACCATTTTGGTCTTCTGACCCCAAGAACTGTAGGATAATAAATCTGTGCTTTTTAAAAAAATACATTAAGTTTGTAATAATTTGTTACATCAGCAATACAAAACTAAACAGATATTAAATGGTAAAATAGCACCATTCACCATAGAAGACAAGTCTGACCCAATGAGATTTTGCCATTTTTCTCTTTTTATTTTTACTCTTTATTTCTTAGTTTCTGTCAAATCTTGATGGGATGTTTTATGGAGGAGGTAAAATAATAAAAATATATAATTTCTTTCACTTGTTTTCCAAATCCAGCAATTCTTTGTCTTTTCTAGAGAGAGAGATTAAAAAAAAAAAGTAACAAATATTTGTCAAGTCTACTACACTTTCCCCTTTCCCTTTTACTTACTCCTCCTCCATTTCATGTCATTTTTATGCGATAGATTATTATGCACATTATAATACTATTATAACACAAGCCATGGTATTTTCAATCACCTTATATGTATGTGAAAGCTGGACAATGCATAAGGAAGAACAAAGAAGAGTTGATGCTTTTGAGTTGTGGTGTTGGCAAACAACACTGAACGTACCATGGACGGCCGGCCAGAAGAACTAACAAATCTGTCCTGCAAAAAGTGTAGCCAGAATGCTCCTTGGAAGTGAGAATGGCCAGACTTCATCTCATTTACTTTGGTCATGTTTTAAGAAGGGACCATTCCCTGGACAAGGACACCATGCTTGGTCAGCGAAAAAGGGGAAGACCCTCAGAGAGATGGATTGATACAGTGGCTGCAAGGATGGGCTCAGGTATAGCAAGGATTATGAGGATGGTGGACAACCAGGCAGTGTTTTGTTCTGCTGTGCATAGGGTCGCTATGAGTCAGAGCTGAATTGATGGCACCTAACAACAATAGCAATAGCATTAAGTGTATTTTCTTATATTAGAAAAACTGCCTTGGGCTTATCATGGAAAAACAACAAAAAACCATGAATTGCAGTCTTGGAGTAAGTAATTAGAAGTGCTTACCTGAACATTTGTTGGAAGAAAGAGGTTTTTCGTAATGGTTTGGTGTTGGATTATCCCACTGAAGAGAGGTATATGTTTCTTCCTCCTGCATGTCTGAAATGCTCTGATAGGTAAGGTGTCAACTCCTCTTGTGCTCAGGAGTAAATGGGTGGAAGAACTGAAATTGGCTACTTTTTCATACTAGTGGATAAATATGGCTTAAGGGGTAGTAGTGATGAATCTTCATCCAGAAAGTAGAAGTTTATGAAGTTTAGGCCAAAGCACAACTTGGTAAAGGAGGAAGTGAGAAAGAAACTGAATTTAAAATGGCCCAACAGAATGTATCGTTGCTCTGGTGTACAAAATGTAGCAGATATTGAAGGTATCAGCACTGGATTAAAGTTAAGATGAAACCAATAGAAGCAGAAATAGTGCACTTGTTTTTGGCATAGGACATAAAGCAAGGGAATGACTTAAACAATGAAGATGTAAGAACAGCTCACATTGGCCAAATAAGTGTAAGGAATTGGAGGTCACTGTATATCCTTAAATAAGAAAGCTAGGAAGGGATTTTATCCCTAAAATAAATCTATATACTGTATATTTACTTACTCGAGTGGCATCGACTTACTCGATGGCAGTGAGTTTGAGTTTTATATTAATTGGGAGTCCCTGGGTGATCAAATGGTTAACGTGCTAGGCTGTTAACCAAAAGATTGGAAGTTCAAGTCCATTCAGATATACCTCAGCGGAAAGACCTGGTGATCTACTTCTGAAAAATCAGCCACTGAAAGCCCTGTGCAGCACACTTCTACTCTGACACACATGGGATCTTGGTGAGTTGAAATAGACTCAAAGGCAACTGGTTGTATACTAGTTAGAGTTATGATAGTGGCAATAGTGAATAGACCTCAAAAATGTCAGTTCCTTACCACAACAAAAGTTAATTTATCACTCATTTAAAATTTTAAATCCAGAAATCCAATCACTTGTTAACTTTTCTCCAGGCTCTTTCCAACTTATGAGACATTAGACTTCTTTGCTTTTAGGCATTGGGAGGGAAAAGGGAAGGTCGAAAATTCATATCTTCTTCTTGAAAACCATAACCTGGAAGTGACATGCATCACATCCTTATCCACACCAATGGCATGCCCATATTTGGATATAAAAGTTGGGCCTAAGAAATGTAATCTCTGCCTGAGCAGCAAGCTTTCAATGACAACTTCACTTTGGAAGTAAGAATCCTTATACTTGAATCATATTCCACCTGATAAACAAAAGCCACGTCTCAGCAATGTAAAGTCTGCAAGTTCCAACAATCTGCAACATTGCAATGTTCTCTTTTGTTTCAATATCTCACTGGATCAATCATATTTCTTTATAACAGTCAGCTTCCCAGAAGGAAGTAAATAGAACACTCAAGAGGTAATCTAAGGGCATTTAATAAAGGGACTGTTTATAAAGTTGTGGGAAGGTTCAAGGGAAAGAATAAGAATTGCTGGATTTTGTGAAATATGCATTGGGAAGTTGGTATCACTAATAGGCCTGAAGGATCAAGGGGGAAGGTAGTTATTGGAACTTCATGAGGACCATGGCTGATGACTTGCCTGATAGAGACTGTGGCCTAAGATATAGAAAATGCAGCCCTTGCCAACTTGATGGTGGGGATGGTGGGGAGAGACCCAGGAAATAAATTCTCTGACCTCTTTCTCCTTCTACCCTTTGATCCCCTGCCAGTGCTTCCCATTGGCTGAATTAACCGGAAGCCAGAGAGTAAGTTTGCCCAGTTAATGCTGCTCAACTGAGTTGGGCCTCCAAAGGCTCAGGGTAGGGCTGAAAGGATCTAGGAGAGAACACAGCACATTCTCTCAAATATTTCATATGATTTTCATGTCACTTGAGATTCTGGTTTAAAAAATAATGCATCTAACTCCTTCGCTGTTGTCTGCCATTGAATCAATTTTGACTCACAGTAGTCCCCTGTGACAGAGTAAAATTTCTACATATGATTTCCTAGCCTGTAACCTTTATGGAAACAGATCACCAGGTCTTTTCTCCCTCAGAGTGCCTAGAGGGTCCAAGCAGTTAGCCATTGCACCACTAGGGCTCCTTCATAACTCTCTGAGGCCTTTAAAATGAGATAATTTCTATGGGGAAGCAAAAGAGGAAGTGATCATAAACATATCAAAAGCTCACTGAGACTAATGTCAGAAACATGGGAATGGAAGTTCTGTAAGTTGTTAATTTCCGGTTGTTCTTGAATTGTATCAGCAGTAAAATTCAGACCCAGAAAGATTAGGTTTTCTAAATACAGTATACCTACCCAATGCCGTTGAGTAAATTCTGACTCATAGTAACTCCCATTGGGTTTCCAAGACTGTACATCTTTACAGAAGAAGATTGCCTCATCTTCCTCCCATGGAGCAGCTGGTGGATTTGAACTGCCAACTTTCTGGTTAGCAGCCAAATGCCTTACCAACTATGCCACCAGAACTCCTTAATACAGCATAATCTCTAATAAATTTCTGGAAGACAATTTGTTTTTCTCAATTAAAAAGTAAATATGTTAATCAGACTGCTTAGTATTTATTGTTGTCAGTCTATGTATTATTTCAAAAGTGTTTAAATAAATTATTTTAATTCTCACAACAGCTGTATGAGTTATGTACTATTATTAGCATGTTGTTGTTGTTATGTGCCATCGAGTCAGACCTAACTCATAGCGACCCCTCCTTGGGTTTCTGAGGCAGTATCACTACGGAAGTAGTTTGCCCCATCTTCCTTCCAAGGAGTGGCTGGTGGGTTTGAACTGCCAGCCTTCTGGTTAGCAGTCAAGTGCCTTAGGCACTACACTAC